AGGAACGTGGATCGACGGCTATAAAGCATCATAGTCAGACAATAATGAAACAAGAAAATGCCATATGTCGTCTCCTAACTGACCGGAAATAAATTTGATCGTCTGCAACGAAGCCAATGCCGCGCGGAAGAAGTTCGAGAGCAATCTAAAACTGTGATCGTCTGCTATTTTTTTTCTTGAAAGCCATTGACAACCCACGTTTAGTTTGCACACCTTGAGTTGCTCTACCGTACACAAGTTGGCATCAACGGGTCCATCAAGGATCGCCCTATTGAAAATTCTCATTTGTATGAGAAATTTCTGCGTCCAATAAACACAAATGAATCATACAAGATATATAAGATCATATAAGAATCATATAAGAATCGTAAAGAGCAATATAAGAACTATATAAGATATATAAGAACATACAAACACTATATAAGAAACTTGTGTGCAGTTTCTTATAAGTTTCTTATATTGTTCTTATATATCCTATATAATTCTTATATAGTTCTTATATGTTCTTCTATATCTTGTATGATTCATATGTGTTTATTGGACGGAAGAAGTTTTTCATACAAGTGGCTTTTTCCACTAGGAGTACTAAGGACAAGCCCACCAGGGATTAAGAGACATCCCTCGTTATTTGTATATTGGTGAGACGTTCTCACCAAAATATGGGCAAAACACGGCACTGGCAAAATGATAAAAAATTATCCTTAAATGATTTCGCCCAAGGTGTGTCATCACGTTCAATGAGTAGCCGAGAATGTCTCGCTCTCACATCGGCCAAAATCAGACCCCTGCTCAATGACTGAATGCAAGTGCCAGTCACACGTCTTACTCGAGTTGGTTTGAGCTACTACCATGGTGACATCGCGCGAACAAACTTTGGCGGTTCCCAGCGTTCCTCTCTTAATATGTATAACACGCTAGACGAACGAGCACCGGTCCTTTAACCATGCTGTCGAGCACGCGTGCTGTTTTGTCTTTTTAGGGGCGAAGCTCCTTAGGGGCTAGCCAAGTCCGTATGTCCGTCCGCCGTCGGGTGCACGTGCTCCTGCTCGTGAGCTCACGCGCTCGTGAGAATCCATGTCAGAAAGAAAGTGCGTGGTATGGAACGTGGTTATATACGCATTTGAGCATTTGACCAGAGCGTGACATGGATGAAAACGAACGAAAGTCTCGGCATGCTGCGGCTCAGCGTCTACGCAGACATGAACCACCAGAGCTTCGCCCAATCAACATCATTCACCACGTGGAGATACGGATTTTTTTATGTATGTGCTTTTCCTAGGTGCTGCCGTTCACAAAAAGCCGCAGTACGCCTCTTCCGTATTTACTCTCGTTCGCGAGGTCACGGTGCCGGAGTGCTCGGGACGCCAGAAACGGTGGCTCTGCGATCGCATCTTGCCCGACGCTGTAGCCACATTTTGTGTCGCATTTTGCCACAATAGTGCGGTCGGAAGAAGGCGATCATTTCAACCTTGATGGACGAAGGGCGTCTTAGTGCAGGTTAAGGTTGTGGAGATAGCATACCTCTTGGACCAAGGCAACACAACCTCACCATTCCACTAGCAACGGACATTTAGGAATTCGGAAGGCGAGGAACCAATTAAAGGCGGGAAAATCAAGGAAAATGCCACCTTTCTTGTAAGTTTTTTTTTTTTTCTGTTTTTTCGCATGTTTTATTTTATTTGAGGGTTTTATGTTTTCAACAGAGCCGCCTACACAACCGGGACAGAACCCCCTCAGCAACCTCACCTCCCCATAAAAGGCCTCTAAAGTATACGTGGCGTGTATTTCACGCGTCCTCATGAGTCCCTTGGATTTCGGCCAAATGACGTACACACGACACATGCTACGATCCCTGCGCTTATAGAATATCTTTGTATTGTACGTTATCCGGCACACAAAACACTAGGGGGCTTGTACGCAGCGCGTAAAAGCCTCTACAATCAGCACAAGGACAAGTGAGGGAGAACCTCTCCTGCCCTTGCGCTAATTTTGCCAAGATGTATAGACAACTAGCAAACCAAATGATTTTAAGGCATAAAATCTACATTTATGTAATTTTACAGTATTACTGCCAGTGCGCGACCAATACAAAAAAAAAACAAGACAAGAAAAAAAATAAGCTTACAAATCATATTTGTTGTACATCGTACATCAAACTGTAGACTACACTGAAAGCACCCTTGGGAGAGCTGTGGTCCAAAATAGGAATTGAATGCAAAGTGGAAGTCCCATACATCGAACTTTATCAACAATTGAGAGAAAAATAGCGATTGTGCAGTCCTCAAACCCGGGAAACGTTTGAATCGGGTGTTGCAGCCATTAGTGCTCAGAATTGGGGGCAGAGAGGGGGGTACACATCAGGTGTCCTTTTTACTGTAGGTCGCCACACTTGCACGCGCGCACGAACACGTACATCTAACCTTTGCAATTGGTGCCCGCTACTCAACTTCCAGAGACCTTAATGCCTTCAGCAACTTTATCTTTAAAATCTTGGCTTTCTAACACGAGGGGCCGGCTCCGGTGTCGTAATACCTTGAAACTTTGCCATCATTTTGTGGACATGGGGAGTGTAAGACGGTGTTGTCCCCGACGCATTCCAGGCACCATATTAAAGATGAAGGCGTTCTTGTGAGCGCACTTTTTCGCGCGTCATTCCAATACGATACATTAAATTACTGACAGTACTTGAGAAATGCATAAAGCTACGCTTGAACACAAAACCGTGTTGATTTCTTTTTTTTTTTTTTCGTGCGTGTGTTTTTCAAATTAGAAGGAAGTGCAACGAAGCTGCTGTGTGCAGTAGATCATTTTCGCAAGCCTCGCGTTATATATTTATAGTTGGTCATCTTTGTCCTGAGGAAGTCAGCGATATTTTAAGACAAGCAGAGCATATTTTCTGATGATCCCAATATTTTTTTGTTTTTTTTTGTGTTATAAATGGCTGATGCAACAATACAATTTCATTTGCAATGAGAAGCTTGTAACTCGACACGCCCTCTGTTGCTTGGGTTGCCGGAGAGTATAATAATACTACCAAATAGGAATATTTTATTACAACCTGTCGTCCAAGTTGTAATAAAATCGAATCCATTCCAAATTTCGTCTGGTGACACCTGCACCTGCGTCGAAGTCGTCACGGTCCTACACACAGTGACTGCTTAAGAAACGTAGGACGGGGCGAGCGTTGTGCACATAATTATCACCCATCGTCCAATGAGAGTGCTGCACCTCCCGATAAGAATGTCAAAGAACGAATCACAAAGCAAGGACAGTGCACATAATCATCTCTACTCTGAGTTTCTTAAACTATCAAGGTCTATATTTTCCGCAACTCGGCAATAATCAGATATCAGTCGAGAGCCATCAGATTAGAGTCGTTCACACAAATATAACAAGCGGAGTGGAATTAGGCCTTTCCAAAAGTGGGCGCCTTCCAGTGGCACCTTCGAAGCCGCCATTGTTTGGGCACGCGCTTTGGGCATGCATTGAACACTAAAGTTGTGGAAGCTCTCGGTGTGATCGCGGATCGTATTGAGCGATTCGCAAAGGAAGCGATGCCAAAAATATCGCTGCCGCCAGGCTGTCTTAACGAACTTTTGAAAGGGCTCTATTGACCCTTTCAAAGGAGTCCAATGAGAACACGTGGATGCAGCACGCCCTAAGGAATATGGAGTCCCGTCGTTTTTCCTATGTACCTGGCAAAGCAATCACTGAAATCTGTAACGAGAGCCCATCGAATTACGAGGCTTATAAAAAAGCTTGAACCTAAAGACCAGTCTGGGCTGCGACACTGAGTATGACGTTCTACCATGTTGAGTGTTACACAGCAAACGGCTTCATTAGATCTGTACAGATTCCTGGGCGAGCAATTCCACGAGATTCCACCGATTATGGCGGTGACTGCCTCGACCAAGTTCTTTGTAAAAAGGTAGACGCCGTATATTTTTTAGATTGTCATTTTTGGTGATGCGTACGTCAGTGGCTGCCGCAGGGTATCGAAGCATTTCCATTGCAGCACAACGTAATTTTATTCCGTTTCTGTTTGAATAAAAACTAAGCGAAATAGCTAGATGTTGTTTCTTTAAAGCATATCACACATTTTTTTATTTGCGATAAGTCGACTAAGATAATCTAAAAAGTTAAATATTCATTGTCCCAAGAGAATGGCATCTACTCAACTACAGCTTGCGAAGTACGCTGCCTACAATTCCTGGAAAAAGGGGGTTTGCATACCCACGTACATTTCCCTCCCATGTAGTTGAATGAATCATAAATAAATGTAAAGAGGTTATGTCTACGGAATATTTTTTTTTCGCGGTCAGGTTAGTAGTTATATGACACTTCATTATATACTGTGAACGAATTATCTTTCGTGATATCAATATTTCGCGATTTATGTCAATGCTGAAACTTTGTAATAATTCGCGGGTTCTAATTTTCGCCACGCGATGGGGTCTCAATATAAATGAAGTGTTTTTAAATTGTACCGAAATTGTTCAAGGCACACATTTTTTTCAAATTGTAGGTCATTCTCGAAATTGGCTAAAATAAGGTCCTCGCGAAAATAAAGTCGTTTACAATACTCCTTCATGCCTTGCAGTTTGCGTTTATAGCTTTTGCTTCATTAGCGGCTTCTATTGATAATTCGGAGATAACCTCGGTGGATGTGTTTTTTTTTCTAGTGTCGCATCATGGTAACCTTCAATTTGACTGACAAGTAAAATCCGCATAAATCTGACAAGCAGCTAACATAATCAGGATTACGAACTAAAAATCCGTCTTCGTCATCTCATTCTCCCCTCGCAGTACACACGACAGCGTATACCGAGAAATAAATAAAATAAATCAGGAATAGGTCACGTTATTTTCCCCTTCTGGCATGTCTTACCTCATTTTTATTTCGAAATAGAGAAGCCTTTAAAGGTCGTGGTGACATCTCGGGACTGTATAAATAGCCGTGTAATCCACGGAAGCTTTTGCCACAAGTCGGTATTCGGTCCAAAATGCTCAAGTATTTCGGTCTCGTATTTGCAATATTCCTGGTTATCTGCAATGCGGGTGAGTGCCTAACCGTTACTAAGGTGTAAGCATTTATAGATACCAATGTCGAAAACTGTAAGACTTGTTCCTGATAATTTGGATGATGAAATTGCCATAAAAATTAATATTTAAACTGAATTTTGCATTAAACTTAATATATAAGGATGAAAGCGATCCTATTGCATTTTGTTACTTTCTGTAAGTTATATTATTTTATGTTGTTTATTTCAATATTAAAATGCATTTTTTTGTATTATTTTATCAACACATTTGGGTTATTCTCGCTTTTGTAGAAGTATAAGTACACATTGCTTTCTTTGGGCTTTCAGAACAAACTTAGTATTTTTTTACACTTCAACGCCTTATTATATTCAAATGTCCGGTGAAAGAAAAAAGTGACAAGAAGTAAATGTACACCTTGAAACCGTTTTCGTCTTCTGGATCTTCAGAATAAAGACTTAAACCAGCTCATGATTCAGAAAGTATATCGCCTATCCGGAAATTCTAAGACGTGTTTAAGGAAGTTCCAGGGAAATTGAAACTGGCGTCATTTCACTGCATGATTGTTTTTGGGAACTCGTGTGTGCAAACACAAGCTTTCTAACTATGCCAACATAAAATAAATTTGTAAATTATTTTGTACATTTTTTCCAATTTGATTTACTTGCTCCTAATGTTGTACGCCGCAACAATACTTTAAAGAATATGCACGAAAATCTTGGTCGTCGCTCTTGTTCTTATATTTAAACGTTTGATAATGCACACTCGCAGAACTGCCAGTGGAGGAGGTTGTCTACCCGAGAGTCCTAGAAGCCAGGGGCCTCAATGGCGAGAAGATGCTCTATGTACGAGATGGTCTTACCTTGAGCCTAGAGAAGAGCACAGTGTTCTCCGAAAACTTCGTTTTCAGCGAACATGATGGAGAGAAACAGTACGATAGAACTGTAAGTAGATTCCTAAAATGTGTGAAAATTGGTGCGAAGTCAATGAAAAATGTACGGTAAACGTCGGAATCCCATAAAGCCTTGTAAATATTTTAATAGAGCCCCTTTCATACTTGAAGGCGTGCCTGATATCACGGACAAATTTAGAGCTGTTGCTTTGCTATAATTTTCTGCAGTTTCTCGTCTAGGTATACCGCATAAATATCACAGCTCATACAGAAGCGCTAAGCGGCGCAGTATTGAGTTTTGAGTATGTGCCAAGTGGCTATATGAGGTCAGCTGGTCGACATGCTGCAAACACAAGTCGAACATTTATTCCGCTGAAAATATATGGTAGAAAACCTGTCATTATATTTTATACTTTTTATGCTGAGCGTCCTAGGAACTATTTTCGCGATATGTGGGCAGTAGTTGCGTAACTCAAATTCATAAAACCTTTGTACATATACAAACACAGACAATCCCTCGACTCCTTCAAACTCACGAATCGGCTAGACTCTTACAAACTTATAATTGTTTCATACATTTAGGAGCCACACTTTTTTATTAACTTTGTTCCCGCATTAATCTAGCTGACCCTATCCCACTCTCTGTTTAATACTGTATTTAAGCATGTGCCATATTGCGAAATGTGTTGAACGTCGCAGTATGTCACTCACAACAATTTGTGGGAGTTCAACCTCCATGGGGTAAAGGTGTAGCCGAATTTGAAGTCTCAAGCAGAGCGCCAACAAGTTATCGGGAACAATACACTAAACATTATTATGTTTTTCAAAGACGTCACTGTTGATGCAATGCTCGTACTACCACAGCTGACGGAATCAGGAACCGTTTAGCATGTTGACCGAAATATTTTATGATGTCAACACGCAAGCCACAGCTCTTAATTCTTCTTAAAGATTTTATTTTTAAAGCAAGGCGTAAAATGTATACCAACCATCGTGTATTCTGGTGCTTACACAAATGAAAGCTATGTTCGAAGTGTTATTTTTCTGTTTTTACCAGGTGAGCGGCAAGGATCTGGAAAACAATTTGTATCACAACATAAAACATGGCTCTTCTCTTCTTATCGACGAATCGAATGGAAAAGTCCAAGTGGTAAGATTTACCCAGCTTCCTAAGCTTCAACTCACGAAAAATCAAACTGTTCCGCGTTTTGAGTTTGTTTAATTTGAATTGACTTTGCAGAGAGGACTCCTAAGTGACCTGTTATCAATCGAACCGCTATTAGCAGCTGAAGAAGCAGACAATGGAGCCGTTGCTCACAAAATATCCAAATTGGACAAGAGCCAAATTCGGTTAGATGATTCCGGTGAGACCCATGACCGTAGTGCGACGTTGGTGCCGCTCTACAATATAAAGTTCCTTTCAGAGCATATTTTAGCCTCGAATCATTTATTGGACTTTTTTCTGTAATCACTGGCACCTTGAGGAATGTAGGTCATAAGAAGTTTCAAAAATCTATCATAGCTGCTGAGATAATGAGATTCCGTCTTTAACCAATGAGCGGCACGAGAAAACATAAAACGCCCAAAGCCCAGGTTTTTAAGACTGTCAGTTAATATAGTATTCACATTGGTTGTTGATTACTTTAATCAATGACGTACTGAATTCATAACTTCGGAATACAGAAAAGTTGAGAAGAAAATGTAATATATCCTTATTGAAAAGAAAAGTTTCGAGATTAACATGTTTAGCTATTAAAAAATAAAATAAAATAAGCTGGAGTAATTGCACTGCATAACAAATCGGTTTTAAAATTCGTTGCAAGTACTGTAGTTCCTCTCCCCACTCAGAAGTCCAGAAAAGTTGTGATTAGGGCCCATATATGATAATAAAATACAAATTAACAGAATTTTAGGATAACTTAACTGAAGAAGCCGTTATTTTACCCACGTACGGATTTTAATTTCTTTTGTTTACAGTCAGAGAACTCAATATTCCGGAAGTGGAAGCTCAGTACAATTACCACCAAGGTAAGTTTAATTGAAGAGGGTGTAGGCCGTCTTCAGATGGCCTCTGACCTATAGTGTTCTTCAGGAGCTTCAGATGAAAAGCCAGCATGTATACCTGTACTCTGTGTACGTAGAAATATTATTTTTGTAGACAATTCAAACGGTTTGAATTAGAACTAATCATACTTTAGATATGCATATTAATGTTATGTCAGAGTATTCTGAACATCAAATCTTCCTCCGAAAATTAGGAACGTGAATGAAGAAAGGGTTCTCTGAGTGCAAAAACGTTTGGGTTGTTAAAAAAATAAACCTCTTATAACCAATCATCAAGAACCAAGCATCATCCTATATTAAATCAAAATAACGTACTTTAGCAAAAACTAATGTGCACATCTTTAAGAATCGTCTAAACAACTGAGGAGTGTCTATCATGAATAATTTTGCATTTTTCGTTATTACGTAGCAAGCTTGAATTTAAATGAAATTAAACGAACGAATGAATGAATGAATGAAACGAGGCTAACCAGTGTAGAAGAAAGAAATGAAGAGCCCAACCATTTCGTCGTTTACCCTGAGACTGGGGGTAAACGACGAAATGGTTGACTTCCACCAGCTAGCCTGTACCTTGACTCTTTTCTCGAAAATGAAGAGTGCCTGTAGCGAAATTTTGCAACATTTTCGTTCACGTGTGACGAGATAGATTGAACTTTGCGTATCCTTCATTGTTAACGCCAACCCATTATTTCTTGAGGTTACATTTTCTTTGCTACTTTTGTGTAGAATTTTGGCAGCTCGACGGCTCTTTGGGCAGGCTCATGCGATTTGCCTTGTTTAGTTTGAATCTGCAATTGCATAGCATTACTCCATGTCCTGTAGACGTAGGACAATTAACACTTTGAGAAGATCGATTCAATAGTCAAAAGTGGTCAGGTTTAGCCCGACTTAGATCACCCGAAACACTCCATTGCAGTTTTTTGCTCTGTAGACTTGAATACATACAATGCTTTTTCTCAGCACAGAGTTAGTATATCACTCGCATTCTTTTGTACAAGCCATATTACAAATAAGAACTTTTATACCTATTCGATATTTAAGATTATATTCAAAAGAACGAACTGGAAAGAAATCTTAATGACAATTTTTTTTAATTTAATTAATAATTTACTTGAGCATTGACCCTAAAGAACCTTCTATCGTGGTTTCATCATTTCCATTTTGTTTCAGTGGGCCGAAGTCTAGAAAATCTGCCAGAAGAAATAAAGGTTGAAGTGCTGATAATATCCGACCACGTTCATAACGAGAATAAAACAGAAAAGGAACTTATCGACCACTTCTCCATTCTTATTAACCAGGTGAGCGCACTAATCATGCAAAGAAATATTTGTGTAGTATATATTTACTTTATCAACCTTTAGTTTGGATAATTTGGCTGGGTTCGTTTAGTGTTAAGGATTAAAATACTATCTGTAAATAACAGCTTCAACAAGTTAAATACAAAAGTAGGCGTGCGTTTAAAGTATTTGCTGTTAACGAAATATTTCTCTTTTTTATCCTTTCGAAAGGTTCGCGATTATAAATATAATAAACGTCGTGTCGTTACAAGTAGAGCAGCTTTTTGGGAACGATTTTGTATTTGTATGGCAATTTAGGACCGTCAATTTCAAGAAAGTCAAGCTATAACCAAATTTGATATTTTTTGGCAAGTCTAGAAATATCGTGCTTATATTGCGAAACGCGTGTGCAAGTGAGGCTTTAGTGACTTCTGTGGTTGTAACCTGGCATCTTTTGCTCTCAGCTCCCGAGGAAAGGCTAGAATTATGTTTAAGAGCTGGTTGTCCGATTGATACATTGTATTCCTTAGAAAATGTGATTATGAAACAATAATAGCCATTCAATCTTATGAAACAAAAAGCTACACTTAAAGTAAGATACAATATATATCTCAAATATACCTTTCCTAAATTTTAGCGTACTTTGAATTTTAGTGATGCTTTCTGCACGGTTGCTTAGTCCGGCAACTGAGGTGCACATATTAGAAATATATGTTTAACATAATATTTTACAGTGAACTAAAAGTTCCACTACGTATACACTGCGAAGTGTTTTATCAAAGTACAAAACTGCAGTACACTTAGTATATCTCTTTCTCCTAAAGAATGTGTGAGATTGTAAACGCGCTTCACACGTTTGACATAATTAGTTTTCTTTTTAACTGAGTTTTTCAATATTGACGGTAGCATAAAAGGCGTAGCAGGCTCATAGATGGGAAATTTGCGTGAGCTTCGGAGATAATTGCTAAACTAGAGCAGACTAGAAAAGCACCAACCTTGGAGCATCACATTGAGTACAGAAATGCGAAGATAGCTAACTTTCAAGATAATTGGTTTAATAACTTAATTTAATTTTTCTGAGGTAACCGCAGACAAGCAGAGCATGGCTTTTTTATACTGACGTGATCTGGAATTATTTAGAGCCATAATCCGAAAACGGCTCATGTTCTTACGTATTTCGTTTTTCTTTGATGAAATATCATTTACCACAGATATCTTTGTCTGTTAGTGTAGATTTTTTTCTTATAACTTAAATTTATTTAGGGGAGACAAAACCATAATTATAGCGTTTTCATCAACTACAACGTGTTTGGTACTATAAATGCACCGAAAAGTTACCACGTTGCAAATTTATGATCTGCATTTTGTTCACTTCAAAAGTACTACATGTGTTTACGGAGCTGCACATGTTGGGACTTTGATAGGTTCGACAGACGTTCGTGCTTTATCAGATTTACAAATAAGCTTCATAATCTGAAAAAAGTGTCTAATATTAGATTATGTCCAATGAACACAGATTCAAGAATAATAATTATATATGAAACATACAATATTTTTATTATTCTTATTCCTCGGTCCTCATGTTTTCTGGCCTAATTACATCGCTACCGTTTTTTTTTTTTTGCTTTGTTTCTCACAATGGCCGTCTGAATTAAGCATATGCGTCTACTGCTCCCTTAAATTACACCATTACCAATATGTAGAGCTAATTACTATTATTATTATTATTATTATCGGAGTCGTTTTTTTAAATATTTCTTTTTGTCTGCACACATCCTACTGTTCTCCATGTCATTGTAATGAAGTCCAATATTGCGATATTGTCTAATATCTCGACCTTTCATGGAATTCGCATCTCAAAAAGTGTGTGCTAAGTAACGAAATGCTTTCTGTCTGCTCTTAATACGAAACTATTGATATCTATCGGTTTACGTAAGCCCAATTCCTATTCATTAGCACACCCATTTGCGGTATGGCATAACTCAATTTGAGATAATTTCGAACTGCAGCAAAGGATAATTGGCAGTGCCGTGAAGGAAACAATGAGAAGGGGGGGGGAGAAATGCTCTCCTTCGGATTCAGATATTTCTCAAACTTCTAAAAGGTTTGAGATATCCATTGAAGTATTCGTACGTGCATCATGTACTGTTCAAGTATTTCTGAAGGGTGCGAGAAGCACGTCATAGTTTTATGAGGCGTGCCTGCTCCGTAACATTCTCTCGCGAAAGAGCACCTGACCTATCAAAACATTTTAGCGGGTCCGTGGGAGTGATCACGTGACCCTACAGAGTATATGCGTCGGTGAAGTCGCTTCGCAATTTTGTATCGGGCGGCAGCAAAGAACGGTAGCTCAGCTTTGACTTTCCGTCCCTCGCATGGATCCATTTTATAAAGCTGCTCAACGTGCGAATAAAAGAAGTCTCTTAATGCAAAGTGTTTTGCTCTTATTGATATGTTCGGCTTCAGAAGGTTGTGCGAGCGCAAAATTCCGGGGACGCTGCCACGATGACACCAGCGACGACAATTAGAACGCGCTCAGGATTCCGTCAAAGGCAGCGTATGTTGGATTCGCGGTCGTAGTTTTAGCTAAACATGTTAACGACAGTGTGTGTGTGGGGCAGGCCCGCTTTGTTTCAAGAGTTTAACTACCGTACATCTCATGAATGTACCCAGTGGCACTCTGAGTATCTCCATACCTATTTTGGAGGCAAAGATCTCGGTTACAGCTCTTTGGTGTGATCGCTTCCCTCTAAGGCTGCTTGTGCCCGGGTTTGAGTACACATTGGTACGTAACGTGTTTCTCAATTTAAAAATGAACGTAAGACATAAGGTATAAAATAAGCTTCAAATGACGCCTTAAACACCTGAAGGTTTGGTTTATGGGTCACAGTCATTTGGCAGCCTAAAGTGTTCGAAAGGTTCAGAAAACCCAAAAGACTGAAGGGTCTGAAGGGCTAGATGGGTTTGAAGGGCTGACGGGTCTTAACGGCTGAATGGGATTGAAGGGTAGAAATTACATCAGAGCCGGAGGGTGCTTTTCAATAAGAGTCATATTTCATAAAATAATGGTCATTTAATGATATATATATATATATATTTAACGCAGGTTAAATGTGCTTGTCGAGTACATATCAATCCTCCCAAATTATTTTAATTATACCTGAATGTCTCGCGGGACCAATTTCGGGGACCTTTGGCGAGCGTTGAAAATTAATAATTTCTAGATTTATATAATTTCTAGATTTATATATTTTAAACGAGCACTACATTATTGCTGATTTTGAAGGTTAACCTCAAGTACAAGGAACTGACCAAGCCAAGTGTTCAGCTTGTCGTCGTTGGCATCATAAAAAGCAAGGTAAGTTTTACCAGAATGTAATTCTATGCCACGTCCTTCTCACTATACAAAGGTGTTTAGGCTTTACGGACTAGCTTAAGAAATTGGAAGTTAAATAGTCCTATAAATAAATAATCGGGTTTGTACGGGTGAGTTATGTGGTCGAATATATTTTTTGCGGCTGAACACCATAATAGGCCGGTTAGTAAAGAAAACTTTGTTCATTAACTATTTAATTAGCAAAATCAAAAATACGGTTCCAATTAGAAACTATCTGGGGGTAATTGAATGTACTAAACCAGTAAATTTCCGAGAGCATTGAAGCGCGAGGTACGCAGCAATTTTGCAGTCAAGCTACCACCCATGCAACAGGCGCGAGGCTGGAGGTGTAATAACGGAACTCCAGCTTTGGAGGTACGGTTTCGCTTCTCCACGTGCATATCATCCGTGTTCTCGCATCGTCAGCTTTGAGATGGCAGTGATATTCGATGAAGCCAAAGCGAGTTTCTGGATAGTATATACATTTATTTTGACTGATCAGAGCGTTACCCTACACATTTTCCTTCATTATTTCACATCGTCACGAATAATTCCTTGTGTTAAGTTCCTCTTCTCGTATAACTCACCTGCGTAGACCGAATTATTGTAGCTTTCAATGCTTTTTTTTAAATATATAGCCCATAAAAGCACACTAGGGTATGCGATTTATCTGAATGCCTCCACTACTCTTCCAGAGCGAACCCTACGCGAAAACGGAATACAATGAAGACCGCAAGGAAGTTTTGATAGATGTGTGCGGAACACTAGCACCTCTAACCTCACATATTTCACGCACATTCGAACGAAAGTCTATGGACGCTGTGTTATTCGTCTCAGGGTAAGGGATTGATATTCAACGTTCGTATGGTACTATTGCTCGCACAAAAAAAAAAACACACTCAACTGTTACAGGTTTTCCTTCCTCCTGTGTGAACCGGGGCGTTAAAGAGGCAAATAAATTAAGTCACATATGTTTACTTGTCATTGACACAATGATGGTGTTAGGGAAAATGCTATAGGAACAACTTGAAGTAAGACATAAATGCATTTTGAAAGGCATGGGAGATTGCTGCCATTAATAAGTATCAACGCTTCGAGAAACGTTACCAGCCAAATATTGATTAGAGGGCGAATCTCACCTCCAGAAAGCCCCCATCAGAGAGCACATCAAGTCCCGCGACGTGTACCGTAAGGCCATATTACCATATGGGACACAATGATGCAGACTTAGCGCGTTCTATAGTGCTTCAGCGCGCAGCTTCAATGATATATAATAAAATGGAAGCAGTTTATTTCAGATTCGGGAAGTGCGCTCGGACTTTAATTTATTCACAAAAACAATTATTTTTTTCAACTGATGATATGGTTGAAGTTAAAAGCGATCAGTACAAGTGAGTGGCTCTTTAACCCACGAAAAAGCAACATGTGCAATTGAGCACAAAGGAAATCTGCGGAAACAAGCTCCTTTGGTGGTTTCCATCTTTGTAGCATGTTGCCGGTCACGACACAGCAGCTTTTTTTCCAAAACGCGCTATCAGGACGCGTCTGCTCTGCCTCAGGCTTGGGTATTTTTTTGCGTACTCAATGATAGCCGTAGTACCTTTGTAGTTTGATCAGTGTTCTAGGATAATCGAGCTTATTAGGACGCTAAACTAAAAAAAAAATGTCTCACACGAGTAGTAAAAATATATTTTAATGCTTTATCTACTTGCGTCCCCACCACCGAGACTGAATAGGAGAAATCCTTCGCCCCTTTTATTCTCAGTGTATTTCCGGCAGCACAGGGTTGTGTGCGGCGATTAAAAGTCGCCGGTTGTCACTTACGTGGGCTAACTTTATCGAATCGATGGCATATGACGAGTTGATTTCGGTAAGCTTCGGATGACTACTGTGTAATACAGCACTGCTTGGCGGCAGATTTGAATGCAACATGGCATAGGTGTACCAAAAATAATGTGCTGAATGCATACCCTTGCCGATTTCGGAAGGAAAAGTGTTTTAAAACTATGTGCATTCGCGCAACTATTACACCATGAGATTTTTAAGTTTAGCAACCAGAAATGCGTTTTCCACAGGCTCTGCAACTCTTCCGACTGTGGGCCCGAATAGTGGAAAACACGCTGTTTTTTTTTTGTTATTTCAAGTGAGCCCACCTGTTGTGCAGTGATAGCGTATAGAATATCGAACAGCCTTCCGAAAAGCCCGTTTTTATGTGATAATTTAAAATTTATCCTGCATCAAGTCTACATTTTTTTAAGTCCCAACGTCTGATTATAGTGATTTATATCAAAACGGGTTTATTTAAAAAAAAAAAGCTGTGTACAGAAACATCCATAAAGTGCAATAAGAAGTTCAGCAGACGCCCGGAACCTTGAGTCAAGCGCCGACCTTGTTACGGCTCCACTCGCGTCCTGCTCTGAAAGCGACCAAACGCCATCCATCCTTCTATAATATGACGGTGTTGTCCACAAATTCAGAGCGCCATTGTGAATGTATTCCGCATATCTTTGTTCACAGGCTGAACCACGCGGGCATTGCGCCAGGTATGTCTAAACCCTGCATTTTTTACATAATGCATAACTAAAATAATGCAGAAACGAATAGCAAGTACACTTTTATTTAAAGGTATATATATAATATTGCATGCATATAAACACTTAAATATATGATTTTTATGATGCCATATGACTTCAGCAAGTTACGCTTCAGAAAGCACGTGTCATGTTTTTGTTGATGTGCTGTCTGCAAGTGAGCTAACATATACACACGTGGTTGAACACGATAACACTTTTAAAATTTATGCAGAGTCTTACTCTTTCGGGAAAATGTATTTTCCACAATATCTGGCGCCAGATAATGAATTCATTCCTGCAAGCTTATCATCGAGAAATGTGTTATTGTCTACTTTTTTACTGAGAAGCTTCTTTCACCAGACCACTAATCCAGGCCCCCGCAATTCTATTTCTTATTTTCTCAAAATTATGCCTAGGTGTGCGTCGGCTCATAGAGAAACTTGTCTTTCTTTTCTTTTTTTTTTTTTGTTCATTCAGGTCACGCCATGTGCTCAAACTTCCGCATCCTATCGCATCGCTAGCGCAATATTATTAATGCATTTTAAATTTTTAAAGTAGTGGTTTAATTATGCGTGACAAAAAACAGAGCTTTATTTCCTTCATCGAACCCGGAGCTAACGCTCAATGCCCGTAAATATTATCGGGAAGCGCGTAGTCCGATGAAACATACTATTCCAAAAGCCAGAAAAGGCAAAAAATTAACCATCAAAACTGCGGACATGCTCGCATCTAATTTATTGAACAATCTTTCTCTACTCCAGTTTTAGAATAGACAAAATATTAGCTCTTCTAAGATGTTTGCTTCAACTAGAAGCTAACTCAAGTGAAATTAAGCTGAGAAACAAAAAAAAAAATGAAAAAGTTGGTGACCTAGCTCGTCTTTGTATCCATACTACACTATATTATTGCCTCAGTTGACAGATCAGCATTGTGGAACTATTTTTGGATAATCAAAATATTATTAAGGTAAAATTCCTTGTTGTTGCTTTAAATGATGCCGTTAAGATTTCGCTACTTTTAAATGAACAAACGAACTGGAAGAATTCAAGCAATACATATCCAATTTGGAAATCATAACTTCAGAAGATGAGCGTGGAGCTCCTCCGCAGCGTAAAATATTTATTGATTCTTAATTGTTCTACCATAGTTTTGCTGTAACTCTGCAACGAGTGAACACAAGTGCTTCCTGAGCCTTTTAAAGCGATGAAGAGGTAGCACGTGACAGAACTTACCAAAGGTACAGAAGCCTAAGCGTAACCGCAGGAGTTATAGAAGAAGGGACGGAGGAGCCCCCCTCTTACCTGCACCCTTTTTCGACTGTACAATATTTAGCCCTTGTTCCTTTAGAACTGGGGTCTCCCAACCCCAGCCCACGAGCCAGATCAGGCACTCGGAGGCGTTCTAGCCAGCCCGCTGATGACCACAGTCGTTCTAGTGACGACCGGACCACATCCCGTTGATAAAAACGCAAAAAACTCCCGTAAAAACAAACGCAAACATGGCTCCATGACACACACTGAAAGCGCAAACAAAGATATCAAGAGGAATGCGAGAGAACTGCATCAAAACGCGGGTTCTCTCGCCTTATTGTTCATTGTACATTTTCTTCTCCAGCATTTCGTGCTTTCCTGCTAAATGTACAGGCAGACATGATAAAAATTCATTCTGACCTTGTGCGCATCGGGCTTAGTATGGTGTGCCATAACTCTTGCACATTGTAATCATCAGGTTTACCATTCTCATCTGTATTCTGCCCCGTGTGAATATGTTGAAATTTTTATGCGCGCAGATTTATGCATGGCAAGTTCTCAGGCCTACAAATATCTCGTAATGTCATAATTCGCGACATTAAGAGAAGAACATGTGTTTATTATCTTCTTTTCCTTTGTCTGTTCTAGTTGAAAGCTATTCATTTAAATGCGTATTTAGGTTTCTGTCTAAATTTCCTAACTTTTATTTCTGTACCTCGCGACTGCGACAGCTCCCAAATCCTTAACCAAAAAGTTCGGAGACCTCTGCAGTAGAAGATAATCTTGATACTCAAAATACGTGCAACATCGGCTTTTTTTTCCCCTTTCGTTTCTTTAGCAGGACATGCGGGCAACTGGTGAGACAGAGTACAGTACACTGTCTCCCTCTAACGCGCTTGTTGGCTCGACACGACTGTAGCCTTCGCGGTTTCTAAAATTACGTAGAAACAAAACGTCGTCTTGACTTACATGTTTTTCTTTCTAGTTTGCGCGAACCTTGGTTCCCTGTGCAGACGTAACCGTGTATCCGCGCTATCCCTTCGACAAGCATCAGACGACTACTCAGCAAACCTCATAGGACACGTAATGGGACACATGTGAGTAGTGCTGCATAGATACTTCGCCTCTACACTTCTTAGAAAACCGGCTCACCCTTGACGTCAAAAAAATCTGTTCTATTTTAACATGGAATGTTTTAAGTGGATTTACGTGGTTGTGTAATTTGTAGAGCTGGGCAAATAGCCATTTCAACACAATAGCGCAAGGACATGTATAGCTGGAATACTGTCGCCGGTGCTATCCAATTTGGACCACTATTTGCCCACCTCTAGAAATTTCGATATTAATAAATCGGCAAAAGCTAAATAGAGCGCGAAAGTACATCATATTCTAACTATAGCCTACGGATGATGTATTGAGGTGTGAGGTAATCAGCCATATTTTACAATAGATATCTCACCGATCAAACCTAACCTAATCCAACATAGCCTAACTTCACCTAGCCTTATCTAACTTAGCACAACTTTAGCGAATCTCATCAAACATCACATGATTTCCGTTAATCTCGGCTGACTATACCTAAGCTTACCTAATCAACCAAGCATGAGGCAAAAAAACTTCACCGAACCAAGACTAATCTCACCTGGCATCAGTTGCTAATCAGGAGTTAATAGGTGAGCTTCAGTCACGTACTTCATAAAAGCAGAACGAATCGCTTCATCTCGTTATTCACAAAATACTAGCTCAAGGTCACTTGAGGTTCGCTGGGATTAAGAATAACACTATTTTTGGCTCTCAGGACCAAAAAAGCTAAACGTTGATTTCATGTGATATTATTTCAGGTTGAATAAAATATTATAAATATCATTGATACATATTGTTAAAGTAATTCTTGGAAACAAAGAATTAAGTCACCCTTAAAATGAACCTTGAAATGCGCAGGATTATGCAAGTTTTGCATATGTTTTAAATTTTACTTTAGCTTTTATACGGCAGGAAATGAAACTTGCCAGCGACATGTTCACTTAACTTTGTACATCCTAACGGAGACACATCGAAATTCTCAGTCAATTTTTTAAGCGAATGGTGTGCCAGAGAGGCTTAAGACTAATTTCGCACATAACGAGTACAGGTTTGACGAGGGAAGTTGCGCAAATAGCGCTGTCGAATTTACTAAGAAATGAACACTTTATTGAAAGACATGTCACGGACCGCTGCGTCTTCATATCCTCGACAAAGAATGTCTTTAATAGGTAGTTCAAACACCAATCCTAGTAAAATACATACTCCAATTTTCGTTAGTGTGAGGCTCGGTTAACACGGTTAGAAGCCTGTTATATGAAGTACCTACCTGACACGTAAACCAGGTGACAGAATTAGTGCGAACAGAAGATCGGTTAAGTGAGCAGCCCCAACGAAACAGCGAATGGAAAGCTCACACTCCTGCATGAGGCGCCCCACGCGCGATAGGCCGTTGGAGGCGAGATTGGAATGGGCAACTTCCAATTCATACCAAAGGTGTATTAATATAATTCATAAGAAGCGTTTTCGCTGTCAACCTTATTAATTGATATACTGGACGGGGCAGTGGTTAGTGCTGATGCAAGCTCTTAGAATGCTGTACACCCTTTTTGTGGATTAAGGTTTTATCATCATCTTTTGTTTAGCACCTGTAATGATGATGCGTCATAAAGCTTCATACTATCATTCATCAATTATAAAGCGGAACTTTCCAATCTTGCTCCCAAAGGCTTATCGCGCCTGGTACGCGATAAGCCTTATCTATCTATCAACCACATAAGTAGATTTCATTACAGCCTTGAGATTCTAAGATAAAAACTAGCAGACGTTCAACCACTCAATTGTCCTAAGAGTATCGCGTTGTGTACCATCTGAAACCTAGGGGTCTTATACTTAGCACTTGTTTAATTGCATTTAAACTGGATATTGTGACCACTAAAAAGCACTGCTTTGTTGTGCCGCTTCAAGGCAACGTGAATTCGTTCATTCACTGGCGTCTGATGCACAAAGAAGACACTGACACACCGTACTGCAGTATCTAAACCCTCCCGATATCCCAAAGGGATTAGACGCCATGTTACGACTGGGTGACGTTTGGCTTCACAAATATTACTTGGACCATTATCACACTCTGTCGGCAAGTGGTAGGGAAAGAGCAAAACAAAAACAGGACACATTGTTTCAATTACTCAGAGTGTGACAAGCGGATTTGTCTCTCGGTCTTCAAAATGACCCGTTCAGAAAACTAGAAGGAATACAAAACACTGCTGCTCGCTGTTCGGACGCTACGACCAATATACAGGTGTCTATGTTATAATAAGAGAGCTAGGATGAACTCCATTGGCACTCCAACAAACAAACTGTACGTTTGATGTTTTTTTCTCGTTTTTTTACTTACCTAATATTACCGCTAAAATGTTTCCACTAATTATATTTCTAAACGTAGCAATAACTCTCACAGAAATATATTGAGGTTGGTACTAAGAAGACACTTGGTAAAGAGGTATTTTTTTTTAGGCGCATTAAGGAACGGAATGATCTGCACTGTGAGAATCTTTGTACAACGAATGATGAAAAGTTTTGTTTTGCTCGTTGTTGTTTGCAATGTGACCGAATGCCTGATGCTGCTGCAGATTCAAAAAGAATCAAACATAACTACATAAATGATTCTTACGTGTTTCTCATAGCAATAACTTTCTTTTATATTTTATACTGGCATTTTGCAGGCTGGGAATGGCGCACGAATCCCATGAACCCATTTTCTCCACAACGGGAGTGAAGCGCATCTGCCCCCCAGAAGAACGAGGAATCCTGATGGGGGGCAAGGGACCCCATCAATTTTCTGAATGCGTCAAGGACCAAATGCGGGGCTACCTTATGTGAGACGTTATAACGCAATATTAATAATCTGGTTTTAATTTTATAGCGAGTGCTTCTTTAACTTACTGACGCTGCTGCTAGACCTAAGGTTTGCGGTGCAACAGTGCTCACTTAAGCTCTCATGTTCAGCGTAAACCATTATGGTCATGGGCATCAAAGGCTGACTGATCTTATGCTGTAGAAACACGGACGTCAAACTCAGTTTTGTTTTGGTTTCGATGTCTTTAGTTTGGTCACGCTCAAGGCGTGATATTTTCCGTTGCGCATGCACCTGATATGGCTTTCTCGATTTCTGTGGAAAACATGTTGCGTGCTTGCCAGCGTTCTGGTGCTTTTCATGCTCAGAGAATTTGATTACGACTCACCGCATTGGTAAAGTTTCTGACTACTTCATGTAAGATTCAGTTTATATGTATATATATAAATATACCCCTTAACCCAAAAAATCACCCCTGAGACGGTTGAAGCACAACCAAGGTATATTTCAAACTCTCGAACTGAAGCAGGGTTTGAAGACGGAAATAATTTTAAACCACATGGCAATAAAGTTTTATATAACGGTTTATATTACGTTGCCCGTTAACAAAACCGTCACCATATTGTAGACTATAACGCTTTTTCCAATGCAAAGAAAGCCTGTCTTTTTTATCTGTAACTTCAAGTTTTTAAAGTATTCGATTTACCGGCCATATTCTCAGAATGTTGAAAATCGAAAAACCGTGTCCTGTATTCTTCAACATAGGTCTCCATAGCGCCAATTTGTTTTGGCCGTTACCGAAAATGGACGCCGATAGTCACGGAATCTGCGAAAAAATCCCACTCCTTCACACAAAAAACAGCAACAAGAAAACAAACCCAAATTTGGAGAACTATGAAACCCGCAAACGCGTATCCACAGCTTTATCCTACTTTTTGTAATTTCAGTGTGAAAAAGTTACTTGGCCGGTTCACTTGCAGACATATTTCATAGAAAATATACGGAAGGGTTTGGACTGTTAGAGAAGGTCGGTTCACGGCGTGTGAAAATTGAAATCCTTTTGTTTATTTATATTTTTTATTTAACATGTTCCGTGGAATGCGGTAACCCCCGGTAATTATACACACAAAAATTGAGAGTGTAATATCGGTGACAACATTTATCGTTTTTTTCTAATATTAGTAAAATAAAATGAAAATAAAGCAAAATGCTCAGCTTTTTTATTTATTTCAACTCAATTACAAGTTAGATTGGGTTGTAGTAACCTCACATATTTTGTATATATACATCCAAGCCAGTTTTCCAAAACAACAATAATCGCGTTATCCTTTTGTTTACACAAAACTATTCGGTAAGTAGGCACTTACCCAACATGCACGCCTCTCGTTTGCCAGCTCCTTGAATTCAGGCCCCTAACTACGCCAAAAAATGCAGTCTTACTCAACAATAATAATTTAAATTATATTTATAAGTAATCGTTAGTCCCTTCCCTCATTGGTGCTACAAGGAATGTATCCTAGCTTAAACACGCCATATACCGAGCATAATTCTCGACATAGCTGCCCGTGGCGTCCTTTTACGTTTTTGTTCTTCTCTTCCAGGACGCTACCAGCCACGTGCTTTGAGCAGACGGGAGGCAAGCCGATCTTCTAAAAAGAAAGGAATGTTACAAGAAGTCGGCAGAACACAAACGATATTACACTACACATATACGACACAAAGATGGTTCCTTGTTCTTCACGTGCTCTTCGGTGATCTCTCCTGTCACGCCCTAAATTCTATATTTTTGTCGCCCTTGTGTGGCCAGCCGATCCAATAAACTTCGATGGTGGCGGAATGTATGAATCTACACATTTCTTCAGTTAATCGGGATAAGACATAAATATTCTCAAAGCAAACTCAAGCAGATATGCTTGTTCTCTTCTTTGCGGTTATAGACATGCCGTAAACTAAACGTACCTGTACACGAAGAACGAAAAAAAAATAACCACGAGTCTTTTTTAGGGTTGATCTCACGTCCCTATCTGGGGTTGAGGCAATCAGAGAATATTTAAATCCAAAGTTCCTGAAGGCCTCTCAAATGTAAATGTAGTGTGGGACGCCATATGTGAAGTTCAAATTTAGACATAACAAATCATCCAGGCCGTATTCAGCCAACAACATATTTAAGAATTGTTTATTTGCCAGCGTTATTGATAACTGGTGTAAGCGACTGGAAGCGATCGCAAATAATGCTTCATCGCAGCATTTGCTGAGAGTCTCACGTAGATGCTTCAGTATAATATAGACCAAGTACATTTCTTTTCGGCGTGAAATTTGCCAGTTTGGTCTCTTCGCTTCTTGGATTGAACGTGCGAATGCCGCCTTTTGAAAAAAAAAAAAAAAAAAAACGTGGTTAGGATCCTGCTGCTCCGCTTGTTTCCCGTCACCCTTGACGAAGAAACCGAGTTGGCTTGGAAACGTCGTTCCTTTTCAAGATGTAGCTGAAGCTATATTTGTTTGACTTTCTAATCAAAGTATCTACTTTTATTTGATGGGCGAGTGGTTCGTAAGATTTTAGTGGGTATTTTTCAACAACATTTTAGTTTAAACGATGCTCTTGGAAAGTATCTACCGGCAGTCACAATTTTCATAACAAAATCTTTAATATTGTCACGGGTGAAGTGACGAGACTGCGTTCGGTGAAGAAACTAAAGGTTTTATAAAGGCAAACTTGTGAAAAAACAAAGGGGTAAAAGAGCAGGCGTCGTAAGCGAAGCGAGCGACGAGGTCGGTGAAGAAGCAGAATCCGGCGCTAGCGTGAGCCTGACCGCGACTTGCCACGCGGAGACATTTTTGTACACGCGTGGGCTTCTGGAACAGTGGTCGTATAAGGTTCGGCGCGTGGAACATTCTACTCTCGATTCAGCCAACAGGGTTCTCGAATTTGCCAGAACATCACATTACAGAGGAAACAAAAATGTTTACGCGTGGCCAGGCATTGAACCTTGGCTATTTGCGCGGAAGGCAAGCACGATAACCGTGAGGCCACGAGCGCGCTGCCTCCTTGATTAGCTGCGCGCGCGGCATTACTCCCCCCTTTAAAAAAACGTATCTTCCTGATGCAGCACAAAACGAAAACACAAATCCACAACAAAAGGACCGCAGATTCGCGAGCCACAGTTCAGGAGCAATTGTTCACAGTTCACTCTTTCACGATAGTTCAAAGTTCTTCCGCTCGTAATACGGCTTGGGCCGGGCGACATTCAATACTTCGGTTCGTGGCTGGCGTCTTGCAGATGGGCGCGTTCGGTCGGGAAAAATTGCAGTTTAGATCGCCGAGGCGTCGGATGATTTTGAAGGGTCCGAATTAGCGATTCAGAAGCTTCTCGCATAGACCGCGGAGCCGTATGGGTGTCCCGACCCATACCCGGTCTCCGGGTTGAAAGTGGACATCCCGTCGACGAAGGTTATACCTTCGTGCGTGGAATGGCTGTTGGTCTTAAATCTTCTCTTTTGCCAGTTGACGAGCTTCCTTCGCGAGTTTAAAGATCGGTTGAGTGTCGCCGTTGCTATAATAGGTTGGCGCGTGAGGCAGCATGGCGTCGAGCATTGCGGCAATCGTCTGGCCGTGTACCAGTTGCAACGGCGTCATTCCCGTGGTATCTAAACCGCTGTGCTGTACGCAAACATAACGTACGGCAACGCTTCGTCCCTCGTCTTGTGCTCTACGTCGACCTACCTGAAAATCATGTTGGCGGTCGTCTTGTTGAGCCGCTCCGTTACCCCGTTGGTCTCCGTAGGGTAAGCGGCGGTTCGTCGCTGGCTCGTGTGACTGAGTCGAAGAACCTCTTGAGTCAGCTGTGCCATGAAAGATGACCTTCGATCTGTGATCAGCCCTTCAGGTGCGCCCTGTCGAAGACGAATAGACCCGACGATAACCTTAGCGACTTCCCCAGGTGTTCCCGATGGAAGGACTTTCGTCTCGGCGTATCTTGTAATACAATCGGCCGCGACGATCATCCACCGGCTTCCTTGCGACGATGTTGAGAACGGCTAAAATAAATCTATTTCGACCTGCTGGAAGGGCGTAGCCGGGGAAAAAATCGGCTGCAGGAGTCCTGCTGGCTTTGTCGGAGGCTTCTTACGTCGCTGGCAATCATTGCACGACCGTGTGTACGGATAGACGGTTTTCGGGAGTCTCGGCCAGTAGCCACGCCACGAATCCGGGGAGCGCCCTCCTGGTTCCCAGCCATCGGGTCGTCTTGGCATGCTTGAAAGATTTCTTCTCGCGGGCTGACAAGAACAACCGGCAGTCAGGTAGGGTTGCTGGTTCCGAAGTACTTAAGGAGCTCGCCTCAGCGCAAAACGAAACCTTGTCAAGTCTTGGCCCAATAATCGCGGAACTAAAAAATTGACCTTCGATGTGTGCGATCACGGCGCTAAGTTCCGGGTCATCTCGTTGAATTGCTCCCATGTCGGTATTTGAAACTGCACTGAGTAAACGGGGGTCGTCGTCGTGGTTGGCGATAATAATAATAATAGTCTTTATTTTATGTGTCCACAAGCAGCGCAAGCCCTTTTGTGTGGTACACAGCGAAAGCCGACTACATGAAAGTATAAGCACTGAGTATAAAAGTATAAGCATAGCTATCCAAAGAAAGCGCGTAAAAAACAAATGTTGAACACATAGCGACATCTGACAAGCAAGATAAGGTAAAAGAAGAAGAGGTACTGAAAATACAAATACAGCTACCCCAAAAGAGCAAACAAAATGCTTAAAATTGCAAACCACTGGTATCATGCAAACAAAATACTCTCTAGATTACGCCGCCACGTTGACTTGTCTCTGAATATTTCTAGGAGCGAACAATCTAACTTATAAAAATCGTGCGGCATTCGTATTAGGGGAGATGTGTGAAAAAAACGTCGATGGATAGGAAAAGTTGCGATTACGGATTGAACGTAGTGGGGCGTGAAGACATACAGCGATTAACAAAACAGGACAGTCGACAAGACCATTGACAAGTTTGTGTGAAAACAAGATATCCCGATAAACGCCGTCTGTCACACAAAGTGCATGAACCAGGTCTCTTGAGCAGCCGATTGTTATTATAATAAATCGCACGTAAAAAAACAACGATCAAAAACGTTGCGAATAAAACGCTGATTTACATGCTCGATAGAAGACGATGCTGTGTCATTTATACAATTCCATGCTATAGATGCAAACTCGAGCTTTACGCGAATTCAACTACAGAATAAACGAACGATACATGCATAGGAAGAAAATTGTCTTGTGAAACGTGAAATTGCTCCCGATTTTCTAAGCGATGCGTTGCATGCGGCCGACACGTGATGTATAAAATTCAACGCCTTATCTATAAAATACTCCAAGATCACGTCCAACATCCACTCATTTGATGACGACGCCATCTAAGATAAAACTGAACTCATGGGGATTTTTCTTTTAATAGAGACCTATAGCCTGTGTTTTATGTTCATTAAGCAGAAGATCATTATTAAAGCGACACCTAGCTATGTTCCCCACATCGATTTGAAGAAGTGTGCATTCGGAATGCGACCAAACATGCCGAAACAACTGTATATTTGCCGTTATGTCAAAGTGGCTGAGGAAGACTACGACTACCTCATGGCCGACGGCAAGATCTGTTAAAAGTGCCCATATTGAGTAAAGCGTCTTTTCGATGTCGAAGGAGATTCGATGTCGGGAGGCAATTCGACTGGGGTTCTAGAAAAACAGTCGGCGTCATTATGTTTGGGGCCGGACTTATCCATAAGGTTCGGAGTTTTCGATTTCAACTGATAAAAACTGATAAAAGTGCGCCGAATCTATTTTCAGAAGTTCGGTTTTAACCGAAATAGGTCAGTTTTTATGTTCGGCTGTTTGGGTTTAAACCGACAAAAGAACGCCGAATCCATTTTCTAAAACTCACATTTTAACCGGGAAAGGTCAGTTTTTCAGGGCCGCGCCGAGGTGGGCGGGGGGAGGGGAGAGAGGTCGTTGCAAGGTTCGACATTATGTGACCTCTTCGTGATTGCCCTCTTCCAAGGTTCAACATGCAACAAAAAAGGTCTTGGGTTGGCCTTCGCGGGACATCTGTGCCCTTTGTGTGATCGGGCTTAGTGCGTCAAGTATATAAAAAAAAAAAAGAAAACGTTGGGGTGTGGGTTTGTATGAGGCTTTTTGCTTCATGCACTTCAGAGGGCATCCGGCAAAGCCGTTGAAACCTTTCTTAAAACCCTCTATCAAACTTCCCTCTGGTTGAGAACATAAATGCAAAGGTTTTTGTAATTCCGCTTATTCCTGTAGAGTCGTCACCAGAGACGGTCGCGCCAAAAGAATGGGAAGGAAAAAGAAGCGCACTGAAGATTATGCCCGCGAATTCCGCGATATTGAGGTGTGTCCCGACGGAAGTTGTAGCGTTGACCAGGTTTCTCCGGCGTGAAAATACTGCCGCACGACGCTAAAGTTGGATCACGGAAGAACTGCAGTGCGCCTTAGAAAGGACATGAAGTCCGCACGCCACTTGAAGCTGAAATCCCCGCGAACGCGACAGAACAGCACACGACAAAACAGCACGCGACAAGACAGCACGGTTGAAACAGCACATGTCAAAACAGCACGTGTCAAAACAGGACAGCGTCAAAAGAGCACGGCTACAAAACAGCATGCTTCAAAATAGCACGCGACAAAACAGCACGGCGTCAAAACGGCACAGCGACAGAAGAGCACGTGCCAAAACAGCACGGCGTCAAAAGAGCACAACGACAAAAACAGCACGCAGGTAAAAAGGTTGTAATAGGTAGCGTTTTATGAAAACAAAGCAGAACGTA